TAGAACCTGAAGTTGATCCGTTTTGTATCTTATCACCATCAATCGAATAATATTGTCGAAGAAGACTAAACAAAGTTGGGTCTGCAAAGAATTGACTTGACAGTTTTAGACATTCTTGAACGCTATTAATAACAATAAATAAATCAGTAAAAAATATGTGGATTGATGTTTAAATTTATTTATTACGGCTACCTGCACTTTTCTGCGATTTCACGATATTGAGATTTAGTGAGTTTCTTAGAGCTTGAGGAAACACTTTGCATTTCAGAAATTTCACGTTCAAATGCGTTTGAAAATGATTTAGCGAATTTCCTTACGATGATCAATTCTGTTGGTTCTCCTATGTTAAGAGACCATTCATTTTTTTGTTTTTGTTGTTCAGACGTTGAATTATAATCTATTGGTTCTGCTAGAGGTTCATCAATGTTAAAGCCCTCATTTTCAGAATTATGCTCGTTTAATGGACCTTCTTTCAACGAAAAATTATTTGCTATCGTAATTGGTTCGTTTTCAACGAATGTTTTTACAGTAGCTGATCTCTGAGAATCCTGTGAATTATTTGTCTGAAATGTTGTCGTACTTTGATTAGAAAATTCCTCAAAGTACGCCTCTAAAAGTGAGGCAACATCTTCAATATTGTCTGGTTGAGTAACAATATTAAACAAGGAATTGTTTGCGTTAGAGTTATTTGTCATTTCATTAATTGAAACTAATTCATTTTGGAGAGTTTGGCAATCGAAACGCTGCTTCTCAACTAAAGCATTTGCAATATTGGGCATATCTATCGAAACGTTATTAAGACCCTTCATGATAATATAATATAAAATAATAATATTTAATAAAATTATGCACTTGGAAAAAAAAAAGGAAAAACACGAAAAATAAACATATTAGGATTTAAGAAAATTATCGTTACACGATTTTTTATAAATTCTGATTGTTATTTGTCACACCCGTATATGTTAACTCTCCTACATAAAAAAAATTTCGTGTCGATGACAAATTTTGAATTTCCAAATTTAGGCTGTTTTGAGGAAAAAAAATTTTTCCTTGTATACAGTCAACCCTCTCTAAATGCACCCCCTTGGGACCATAATGAAAATTTTTAAAAATGTGCATTTAAAGAGTGTGCATTTAAAGAGAATTTCTATATGAATTCTATATGCTTGGGACTGAAAGAGAGCGTGCATTTAGAGAGAAAATATATAGTGTGTGCATTTAGAGAGGGTTGAGAAAGCGAACGATCTACTTAAAAAATCAAAGGTTAGTAAAATTTTTTTGCAGTATTGCAACAGAGCATAGGTGTTACCCAGCTGCAGCTATGAAGATATACCTATTAGGGATACCTTTTTACGATCTATTAGATTGCTGTGGGCTGCTGGTCTCGTGCCAATGGTTAGGGAACAATAACCGTCTTGTGGCTAGGTAGGAGGCTAATAGCTAACCTGCTGATGGCCTATTAGGTTGCCACGGATTTTGTTGCAATACTGTTTTCTAGGCACAGCTATTAGAAACATTTCTAATGATTTTTTGTTTTCATTATTCAAAGAAAAAGCGAAAAGCAGGAAGCATTGACAAACTTTGGAGCCCAATTGAGGAAATGTATACTGTGGCCAACATTCAGTCAGGTAGGTTAATCTGATTAAAATAAATTTTTTTCTGTATTCTAACACCATTTATTACTGATTAGGAAACAGGACTCATTGAAAATATAAAGCATACTCCAGAATATTGAATGAAACTAGTTGCTTAAACCTTATAGCTCACATTAAGAAACGAAATTAATAACTGATATAGCCAAAAAACAAAAGACTGATGAAAATACTGAAGAGATTGATCCTACTGAAGAGATTGATTCTACTGAAGAATCAGATGATTAGTGATTCGAAACGATCGAGTCGGGACTATCATTTTATGACACGAGTCCTAATTCAAAAAAACCCGCCGGTCAGGGTCACGTTGTTGCTTGACCCCGTGTGACCCGGACGATCAGGCGCGCTAGACTTTTTTTTTTTGTTTTATGTTACGCGACTTTAATTTAGAAAACGAAAAGCATTGCGGAGTGAACAATTACAGTTAAATAAAAAAAAATTATTAAACATTAACTAATACATTTTTTTATAAATCAACAATTGTTCCAGTAGAACGAGTTTTTTCTGGCGGAACCGATCTGATATCAACCAAAAGATGTACTCTTAAAGCTAATACAATTTGCCTGTATGTGCTTGAAATTCTGGTGAAAAAAAAAGGAATTTGAATTAACAAATTTTAAAAATAAAATAAACTTTATATGACATTTATTTTATTTTCGGCATTAATATTACCCTTGAAAATTTGAGTCGAATCCGGGTTAAACAATGATCGGGTCGAGTCGAATTCGGGTTCTATCATTATTAACGGGTTCGAGTTCGAATATTTAAACCCGAATCGACCCGACCCTTACGAAGCACTACAGATGATATTGAAGTTTGTTATTAAAAGTACATTTTTTCATTTATAGACAGTTTTCCTATTTTGCAAATTATAATTTTTTTTTTAGATTAAAAATTGAGGGAATCATTTGTAAAGAAATATCAATCAACAAAATCTCAAAGTTACTATTGAAAATTTTGAAAATTACAAGAAGGACAATAAGGATCCTTTGGCAATTGCTAATATAATGGATTTGACACAAAAAGGCTTATTTATAAGAACATTGCCTAAAGATGTTTACAAAAAATATCTTTTATCATTAGAATATTTGGATGATAATATTATTCCCGATGAAACACATGATTTTTTAGTTTAGAATTTTTTGGGCAGGTAAGAGTCATGATATTTATAATGAATATTTACTTGAC